GTGGTACATATACACAATGGAATACTATTCAGCCTTAATAAAGAAACAAATCCTACCATTTGCAACAACATAGATGGAGCTGGAGGACATTATGCTCAGGGAAATAAGCCAGGAGGAAAAAGACAAATGCCAAATGATTTCCCTCATTTGTGGAGTATAACAATTAAGCAAAACTGAAGGAACAAAATAGCAGCAGACTCAGAGACTTCAAGAATGAACTAGTGGTTACCAAAGGGGAGGAGTGTGGGAGGGCAAGTGGGGAGGGAAGCAGAAGAGGATTGAGGGGTATTATGTTTAGTACAAGTGGTGTGGGGGATCATGGGGAGAACAGTGCAGCACAGAGAAGGCAGCTACTGAATTTGTGGCATGTTGCTGCATTGACAGTGACTGCATTGGGGTATGGGTGGGGACTTGATAATATGGGTAAATGTAGTAACCACATCATTTTTTCATGTGAAACCTTCATAAGAGTGTATATCAATCACACCTTAATAAAAAAGAGTGGGCCTTAGGGAGGTTATTAATCATGAGGGCAGAGCTCTCACAATTGAGATTTGTACCTTTATAAAAAAAAAGACCCCAGAGAGCTAGCTACCTCGTCTACCATGTAAGAACAGAGCAAAAAAGGTGACATCTATGAACCAAGAGGTGCATTTTCATCAGACCCTAAATTTTCCAGCACCTTGACCTTGAACTTCCCAGCCTCCAGAACTGGGAGAAATAAATTTGTGTCATTCATAAGCCACCCAATTTATGGTGTTTTGTTGGCATCGTAGATGGACTAGCCTTGCCCATGGTCAGGACCTTCTGAGGTATGACCTTCATAGTATCCATGGTCTTCAGTGGGACTTTGCTGGATATCACACTCTTGCTTGTCTTTCCTGTCCCACTTTCCCACTCTCCTACCAGTTTTACTAATAAATCACTTTCACACAAATCTTCCTCTAAGAGTTTGCTCCTGGAAAACCTGACAACTACCTGGAATTGGACCTAGCATAACCTAAGCATCCAACAATTATTGATTGTAAGGAAGGAAGCAGGTACTAAGTTGTCACTCATGACAATGTCCACCATTTTTCTCTGGTCCACATTTCTGGAGGTGGCTTATGAAACAGGCTCTCCCCATCTGGTTTTCCTAACTCACTGGAATCAGTTGTCACTCATGCAAACAAGAAGAAAGTAGCAAAAGAGCTAATGCTGCAGTGCACCTTGCCCATCTTCTGTGAAGTCTTGCTTTACTAGTTATATAATGTTGGAGACTATTTAATTCTTTGGGGTTAAACTCTGTAACAGAAAATGCCAACCTTGAAAGAGTCAACCTTAAATGAAATAAGAGAATTCCTGGTACATAGTACCCTCTCCAAAAAGTTAGTTTCCTTTCTTGCTTCTTCCAGCTGCCTGAAAGTTAAATTGAGAGAAAATATTTCATCTCCTTATTTTTCACTGTGTGCAAATCTAGATAAAAAACTATCTGGAGTCAAATCCAGATTAAAATAGTAGCTGGGATGGAGAAGTGTCAGCCAGCACAGGTGAGCATGAGTTGGCAGTGCTGAAAAGTCAAAGATGGCCGACATGGTTAGGAGATTGATTGCATGTAAGAACACTTAGCAAGTAAGCCAATACACTGAGAATGATGGGAGTGGGCTTCTCACTCTCAAGAAAGAGAGGTACAACTATAGAATGGGGAAAAGCTAGGATAAAATCTCTAAGGTTGGATTGTAATTGGAAGAATCAGTATTAATTCCTGGTCTCTAATAGATGATAAATAGAAAGATATATCTACATATATAGACACATGCACACACCTAGATGTGTGTATGTGTGCACACATAATTCCTGGTTCTGTCCACTGACAAGTCAAAGAAGCAATGGGTATACCAGTAGCAGTAAGCATATCGAATACCCATATCTAGGCTACTAAATACCACTCTCCTCAAAAGGAAACAGAAATCCTTGGAGAAATGGCTATTTCCAGAACTAAAGAAGGGCAAGTATATAATGAATCTGGAACATCTTATACCAGAAAGCAAAGAAATTCTCAAAGAATGATAGGGATGTGTCAAAATGACACAGAAATCAGCCAGGGTCTCCCACTGGCTAAATCTGGGACAATTTTAGCATCAAAATAATGATAGCAATTGTTTTTAATCCATTGAGTAAAATAGGAACCCATGGGCTCATGCTGATATACATAAATAAATAAATGGAAAGACAGGAAAGCTTTACCTTACAGTAGGTTACCTAATAAATGTAGAAGGGCCGATGGAAGGGATGATTGCCATTGGAAACCTTTGTGGTAATAGTTGTTTTAGACAAGAAGCAAAGATTGGTACTAACACATATGAGTGAAAGTGTGGTCAGGAACAGAATCTTAACATGGTCTCAAAGTATCTTTAGACAAAATACTTATTCATTAACATAATATTGAAAATTCTGGTAGACATCATCTAACCTAACAATAAGTTAACTTGGTCAGTAATGAGATAAATCATACCCTATGCCATCTGATGTGAAGCACTGAGAGAAATATAGAATTAGTTGTGTGATATTCCTGTCAAAAATGCATATCCTAAATTCAATCACAAGGAAACATCAGACACACCCAAACTGATGGACATTCTGCAAAGTAATTGTCTTCTCCTCTTCAAAAATGCTGAAGGTCATATGGGACAAGCATCATGATTAATCTTCTTGCCTATGATGAAAAATGCCAAGATATAACCATCACCATAAGAACAGGAGGGACTCCATCTTAAGGCTAAGATTCCATTTTAAAAACCAAGGAGTTAGGAGGTAAGATTCCTAACATATTCTTTGGTAATCACCCAACAACCTACCTTAAGGCAGGGCAAGGAGTCTTCACTGATATGTTCCCAGTGCTTGGAGAAGAACAGGATCAATAAATTCCTTGTGTTAAGTTTATCTTACAGAATTATCTGGAGGACTGACTATGGATAGTGACACAGTGTCTCTCACTGGAGATAGACATTGTGAGATCACATGACAACCCTATGCCCCCCTGGCCCTGTATCCCATTCCTGAAAAACCCTTAAAACTTCCTCTCTGAGGTTGCCACACTCCCCTTTCTTCAAGCATGTGCTCCCTTTCACAATTGTTGGTCCCAAAAGCACTCCTTAATATTCTGGGCAATAAACTCCATTTCAGAGTTATGTAAAGAGCTCAATCTGTAACAAAAAGACTGAGAAGGATTTTAACAAGCAAAGGTTAAGATGGAGAATATTCAAGGCATGGAAAATAGTCTAAGCAAAGTCTTGTATGTGATGACGAATAGCACAATTAAGGAATAAAGCAGGTGACTGGAGCCCAGAGAGCAGGAGGCAGCTTGATGTAAGAGGAAGCTGATCAGATAGGTTTGAGCAAGCCCATATAGGATGTCTTTGGCCATGTTAATGATTTGAGTTTGTCTCTTAAGAGTAACGGAAAGCCACTAGAAGGCTAGAAAGTGGAGTGCAATGCACCAGGGGGTGCATTATAAGATTTGCATTTGGAAAATATTCCTTCCACTGCAACAGAAATGTGGAAAACAGATTGGAAATGGAAAACAGTAAACGGGGAAAGACTAGTAAGGAGGTTACTATAGTGGCCTAAACAAAAGATGGACCTGGTGGTGATAGAGATAGAAATTTTTTGGATTGATTAAAGAAATACTGAGAAGGTAAAAAATTGATACCATTTGGTGATGGACTAGATATAGATCATAAACAAGGGGAGGTGTTAAGGATAGTACCTAAGTGTTTGGTTTGCTAAACTAAACAAATGGTGCCACTCAATGAGGCAGGAAACATAAAAAGAGAATCAGGCTTAGGAGAAAGATCATGCAATTACTTTAGGACATAAAGAACTTGAGCTTCCTTTGAGACAACCAAATGTGGGGTCTTGGAAACCCAGGTAAGAAAAGGTTCTGAAAAGAAAGATAATTTATTCATCATGGTACTAGAGGTCCTAGCCATGGCAATCAGACAACACAAAGAAATAAAAGGCATCCAGATTGGTGAGGAAGAAGCCAAACTGTCACTGTTTGCAGATGACATGATATTGTACATAAAAAAAACCCTAAAGAATCCACTCCAAAACTACTAGATCTAATATCTAAATTCAGCAAAGTTGCAGGATACAAAATCAATACACAGAAATATGTTGCATTCCTATACACTAATGATGAACTATCAGAAAGGCAAATCAAGAAAACAATTCCATTCACAATTGCATCAAAAAGAATTAAATACCTAGGAATAAACCTAACTAAGGAAGTGAAAGACCTATACCCTGAAAACTACAAGACACTCTTAAGAGAAATTAAAGAGGACAACTAACAAATGGAAACTCATCCCATGCTGTTGGCTAGGAAGAATTAATGTAGTCAAAATGGCCACCCTGCCTAAAGCAATTTACAGATTCAATGCAATCCCTATCAAAATACAAACAGCATTCTTCAATGAACTGGAACAAATAGTTCTAAAATTCATATGGAACCACAAAAGACACCGAATACCGAAGTAATCTTGAGAGGGAAAAATAAAGCAGGTGGGGGGAATCTCGCTTCCCAACTTCAAGCTCTACTACAAAGCCACAGTCATCAAGACAATTTGGTACTGGCACAAGAACAGACCATAGACCAATGAAACAGACTAGAGAGCCCTTATATAAACCCAACCATATATGGTCAATTAATATATGATAAAGGAGACATGAACATACACTAGGGAAATGACAGCCTCTTCAACAACTGGTGTTGGCAAAACTGGACAGCTACATGCAAGAGAATGAAAATGGATTATTGTTTAACCCCATTTACAAAAGTAAACTTGAAACGGGTCAACGACCTGAATGTAAGACATGAAACCGTATAAGTCTTAGAAGATGTGGAGGAGCCAAGATGGCAGTGTGAGTAGGGCAGCGGAAATCTCCTCCCAAACCATATATATTTTTGAAAATACAACAAATACAACTATTCCTAAAAGAGAGACCAGAAGATACATCCTCACCTGAGAGAACTTAGCACCTCACGAAAGGGGTAAGATATGAGCCGCAGCACAGTGGGACCTGAGCACGACCCCTACCCCAGCTCTGCGGCAGGAGGAGAGGAGTCAGAGTGGTGAGGAAGTGGGAGCCCAGAACTGCTAAATACCCAGCCCTAGTTATCTGCACTGGGAGCATCAACACACGGTGCATGGTGTGCTGGATATTAGAGAAACGGAACATTAAACCTGTGAGCAGGTTCCCACAGCTAGCGCCCCTGGGACAAAAGAAAAGTGAGTGCTTATTGAAAGTCTTAAAGGGACAGGAGACTCACAGCTGGACGGAAGCATACCAGCACACTCAGCCCAGCAGCTGGGAATCCCGAGGAACTCCAGGCACCCTAAGCCCCTGGGCAGCAGCACAGCTCTGAGGCCCCTCACAGTGATAAACAGCCTCCAACCATTCCTCCTCCAGTGTGGCCCGACCATAATGGAGCGGCAGCCTGAGACCAGCCACACTCACAGCAGCTGCACAAAGCCTTCTCTGCAGCCTCCAGGGCCAGACTCTCAGGCCCTGTCAGCATGCAGTTGCCCAGCACAAGCCACTAGGGGCCGCCATTATCACAAGAAGGGAATGTGACAGGCAAAGCAGGAAGGGACTTTGTTCTCCCAGCTGACACACACACCAACTGCCTATGACTACCTCTACTGCCATGAAAAGGCAGAAGAATTTGATACAGACAAGAATAACTCAGACTTCCCTGGAAAGGGAACCTGGGGAGATAGATTTAACCAATCTTCCTGAAAAATAATTCAAAATAAAGATCATAACCATGTTGATAGAGCTGCAGAGAAAAATGCAAGAGCTAATGATAAAGTTGGGAGGGAGAATACAGAAATAAAACAATCTCTGGAAGGACTTAAAAGCAGAATGGACGAGGTGCAAGAGGCTGTTAATGGAATAGAAAGCGGAGAACAGCAGTGCAGAGAAGCTGACACAGAGAGAGATAAAGGACCTCCAGGAATAAAAGAATATTAAGAGAGTTGTGTGACCAATTCAAATGGAAAAATATCCACATTATAGGGATACAAGAAGAAGAGAGAGAAAAAGGGATAGAAAGTGTCCTTAAAGAAATAATTGCTGAAAACTTCCCCAAACTGGGGGAGGAAATAATCGAACAGACCATGGAATTACACAGAACCCCCAACAGAAAGGATCCAAGGAGGACAACACCAAGACACATAATAATTAAAATGGCAAGGATCAAGGACAAGGAAAGAGTTTTAAAGGCAGCTAGAGAGAAAAAGGTCACCTATAAAGGAAATCCCATCAGGCTAACATCAGACTTCTCGACAGAAACCCTACAGGCCAGAAGAGAATGGCATGATATACTTAATGCAATGAAACAGAAGGGCCTTGAACCAAGGATACTGTATCCAGCACGACTATCATTTAAATATGATGGTGGGATTAAACAATTCCCAGACAAGCAAAAGCTGAGGGAATTTGCTTCCCACAAACCACCTCTACAGGGCATCCTACAGGGACTGCTCTAGATGGGAGCACCCCTAAAAAGAGCACAGAACAAAACACACAACATATGAAGAATGGAGGAGGAGGAATAAGAAGGGAGAGAAGAAAAGAATCTCCAGACAGTGTATATAACAGCTCAATAAGCGAGCTAAGTTAGGCAGTAAGATACTAAAGAAGCTAACCTTGAACCTTTGGTAACCACGAATCTAAAGCCTGCAATGGCAATAAGTACATATCTCTCAATAGTCACCCTAAATGTAAATGGACTTAATGCACCAATCAAAAGACATAGAGTAATAGAATGGATAAAAAAGCAAGACCCATCTATATGCTGCTTACAAGAAACTCACCTTAAACCCAAAGATAAGCATAGACTAAAAGTCAAGGGATGGAAAAACATATTTCAGGCAAACAACAGTGAGAAGAAAGCAGGGGTTGCAGTACTAATATCAGACAAAATAGACTTCAAAACAAAGAAAGTAACAAGAGATAAAGAAGGCCACTACATAATGATAAAGGGCTCAGTCCAACAAGAGGATATAACCATTCTAAATATATATGCACCCAATACAGGAGCACCAGCATATGTGAAGCAAATACTAACAGAACTAAAGAGGGAAATAGACTGCAATGCATTCATTGTAGGAGACTTCAACACACCACTCACCCCAAAGGATAGATCCACCGGGCAGAAAATAAGTAAAGACACACAGGCACTGAACAACACACTAGAACAGATGGACCTAATAGACATCTATAGAACTTTACATCCAAAAGCAACAGGATATACATTCTTCTCAAGTGCACATGGAACATTCTCCAGAATAGACCACATACTAGCTCACAAAAAGAGCCTCAGTAAATTCCACAATATTGAAATTCTACCAACCAATTTTTCAGACCACAAAGGTATGAAAGTAGAAATAAATTCTACAAAGAAAACAAAAAGGCTCACAAACACATGGAGGCTTAACAACATGCTACTAAATAATCAATGGATCAATGAACAAATCAAAATAGAGATCAAGGAATATATAGAAACAAATGACAACAACAACACTAAGCCCCAACTTCTGTGGGATGCAGCGAAAGCAGTCTTAAGAGGAAAGTATATAGCAATCCAGGCACACTTGAAGAAGGAAGAACAATCCCAAATGAATAGTCTAACATCACAATTATTAA